ATTTAAAAGACAGGCAGATGTGGTGCTTAGGGACATGGTTTAGTGGTGGACTTGGCAGTGTTAGGTTTACGGTTGGAATCAATCTTAAGGGTCTTTTCCAACTTTAGATTCTATGATTCTAAACTCTCCTAGTAAATAACAACCTCCACCAGCAGAACATCCACAGATCTTTGTATTACCTTCTTATCAGATTAGCTCTTTTGGACATTTATTCTCCTAAGTGCTAAACCAGCAGAGTGGGAATCTTTAGCAGAAACAAAACGCTGCAGATTGGTCCTGACATACTCTTGGTAGTCTTCCACCAGAAACAGTAATAAATACATGTACTTCGCACGAGGCACACTTCCCAGGTGTAGAGGCTTTTTGATAACACACAGCACAACACACAGCCAAGAACTGAAGAAATATTCTCAAAAGTATTATGGCATTCATTTACCTTTGCTTGCAGTAACACAACACGAACTTCCTTCAGAGATACCACCACTCTGATCACACCATCATCTCTTGCCAGATCCCACAGCATTTATATTAGTCATTTTCACAAAATAGAAGGGATTTCAAGCTACTTGCACTAAGTATTTCCCCCATAAACCACACTTGCAGCACTGCTGCTCACCAGCCTTGCTCTCAGCAGCAGCAGCAGCAAATGCTGCTTTCCAGAGCACCTGCGATAAACTACAGCTAACACCATGTCCATTTGAACTTAACAGAAGAAAACCCAGACTGTCACGTAAAAAAATGCTGTTCATAAATGCTCCCTCCAAATTTTGAGGAAATAGAGGACTCGGCTCCCTCTTCTCAGGAATATTCTGCAAATAACACCTAGCTGAGGCCCAGCTGCAGGTTAATGCCTGGCACCGGTGGATTAAACAGGTTTCAGGCAATCCCTTTGACACAGGTACTGCCCTGAATAGACTAACAAACACCTGAATAGTCAGCAATTTAACCCTTTTTTGCCACCTCATCACAAACAGCGTGACGTGGACCAGTTCAGCCAAAGCTGAGATCCCAAATACAAGCCTGGATGCCCAGGGCGGTGCCCGAGGTATGTTTGTTTACCCGCAGAAGAGGGGGTATGTCCTACTCACCAAAGCCACCAGCAAAGCAGTCTAGAATGGGGGTGCCTTCACAGGCTTGCTCACGGAGCAGAAGGTGAAGATGTCCTTTTCCACAGAACGGCTGCAGCACTTGAAACGTGCAGAACACTGTGCTGCACCACTGCTGCTGCTTCCCCCAGGAGTACTTGATACCATCGCACAGCTGCCCATCAACATGCACTGGCTGGATGCAACTCCGGATGGCATGCACAGATACAGTCGTGCTTTCAGTTTGGGAAAGCATCTCATGATCAACAGGGCCCTTTCTAAAACAAGCAATCTACCAAATCAACTCCCCATGAAATATTTTGGCTCTAAGGTCAGAAACTATTACTTCTATCAACAATAAAGTGTTTCCTAAGTCAGCAGGAGATCATAAAGAGAAGACTTTCAGGATTTCCATTTGGCAAAATACACTTTTGTTTAGGTTTTTTTTTCCCTCCACCTAGCCTAGGAAACCCATCCCTGCCTTGAAAAAAATGTAAATTGCACTTCAAGAGCATACCAATTTCCCCTCAAAATCTTCTGATATAAGGCTATGAATGTTGTTGAACTTACGGAAGCGTGAAGTACAAGTTTTGCATAACAAATGTTACTGCTCAACATACCGGGCACTTACCGCAGACATGACCACTATAGCCTTCGCTTAATTAGATCATCCTTCTGCTATACAATACATAAAAATGTAACTCTACTGATATCAGCATAACCATATCAGTATAAAAACGTAAAAAGCACAGAAAACTTAGTCACCATTGCATAAGCACCGAGAGTACTTTAAATGCATTAGCATAGCACCAATTTCCTCTATTGTGAACACACATTGAATCACAAGAACCCAGTACTCCACTGAAGCTCTCAATTACAAATGTAATTTTATTTAATTTCTTCACTCAAACTTAATTTCCTCATTCCAAATCTTTACTGAAAGAGATAGTAGTTAAATGCTTAGAAAAAACAGGAACTGCTCTAGTAGGCAGCTAGAGAAATGTATGTATCAATACAGATATGGAATGTAAATTTCAACTCATAGATCACAACATACAAAGAAGATTTTTATGCAATACAGACTTACAAAACAATAACAGTTCTTTTCACAAATATTTTCACAGAGTTCTGCACAGCAATCTTGTAGAAAAGTAGATTTGTGCAACACCAAAATAACTTATTGTTCCTTAGTATAAATTATTTTTCATTTCCTAAAAGAAAGAGATAATTTAATACGATTGGGCAGGATCTGACCGGATTTGGTGATAGCAAAATATAAAAGATATAGTTGCTATACGTGGAAAAGGAATATGACATGTGCTACAGTATTGCAGGGGCTAGTTCTGGGAAAAAAAAGAAAGTCGCCTGCAAGTCTAGTGCTTCTGCTGCTGAATTGAGGCTGTGCACCAGCAAACACCTGCCCTTTTAGTGCTTTCACAGTCAACCAGCAGAAGTGTGCTTTGGTACTTGCACCTATTAAAAAATACCTGCCTCTGTGGGTTTCTAATTTGAGTCTAAAGCCTTCAAAATAGCCTTTCTGATTTGGAGGAACAATCCACAGTTCGGTGTGCTTGAAGGAGATGCCAGGTAGAAACTAGAAGGATTCACGCTTGATGTAACACAAACTCTATTCCCGATTTCTCTCTCTTAACTGCACAAAACATACAACTAAAAAAGAACTAATTGCCTAGGCCTAGAAACATGCTTGAATAGTAACATTGATGGAAACGATTTGCAAAGTTTAAAATTACATTAACCATAATTTAAATATTACTATTGATTCCCAGAAACTTCAGTGCTGATGTAGTACAATCATTTGGAAAAGTACGAGACAAAGTGTGGTACAGATAGCACAGATTAAAATTCCCCAAACATCGTAATTCATTTCCATTATGTTAAAGTCATATATTCCTCAAGGATAAAGCTTCAGATGGAAAATCCATTCCTTCATAACATAGCTAGAATGTGAGTTTTAACCATCTTTACTTTAGGTTTCTTTTACATACAGGGATCAAAATAGACTTCTCATTATGACTAAAAATATAGATTTTTAACTACAGAACCCAGCAGCCATTTTTCTGCTTCTTTGCCCTTCCCCCGAAAAAGTCAAGCAAGGTCTACAAAAATAGCAATTGACTTTAAAAAATAGGTTGCTTCTTCCAGCAAATTTAAGTTACATTCAGATGTAATATAGCTATTTATAAGGAACAATGTTGTGGCAAGACATCAAGGGAGGCGTGCTGTGTTCAGTTTCCTTCTGACAACAGCTGCCCACATCAGTGCTAATCTTGGTCTCTGTGAAGATCAGTATCTGGTTTGATATTCATGGTGCCAACGATTGAAATCATTGTAGAAAACCACTATGCTCCCAGATGCCATGCCAGTCATTATACACCTAAGAAAAGCACACAAGACCATATTCGTTAGTGAACCACGGCACGTTCAGATGTATCGGTCAACACACCGAAGAGCTACATCAATACAGGCACGAGAACCCGAGGCAACGACCAACTTCAACCAAAGACAGCTGGAGCTGGAAGCGCTCCACATACCAGAAAAGTCAGGCTTTAGGGTCTCCCATCTTGGGCTTCCAAGGACTCCAGCAAGCTGGATCTGAATAAAACTGCCATCTGCAGTAGCTCTGACACATATATGGATCACAAAACATACAAAACACCATGCAACAGTTTGTATGGTCGGCCTGAAGCTACAATTGAGAGTTAGACAACAGAACTGTTTACCAGCATCGCTGTCCTGCAAGGCCACTTCAGATTTCCTGGGATTATTTCTTGGCTTGCTTGCTTGTTTTTTTGGGGGGGATTGGGGTGGGATCAAGCCCTGGTGAAGCAACAAAGTGAGGGAAGGCTAGGAGACGTGTTCATTTCAGTTTTACCTCCCCCATTTAAGCACACGATCTACATGAAGGAATTGGATGTGGGCACAGGACTTCAGCTGGAAACGTTAGTGTTTGGGTTTGAAAGCAATCTTAAGGCTTTGATTGTTTTGGAGGTTCCTCTTTCCTTCCAAATTCCTTACCCTTGGCCTACTACTAGAGATGATTTAGATCTGTTTGAAAAGCCATGACCCTGACATAGCACACAATTACAAGAGTTTCTATATCGTCTTTTCTACTGTCTCATATTAAAGTTTTACGAAAATCAGAAGTATGAAGATGTATAAAATTCTGGCATTTTAGGAAAAAAGCCTCAGAAATAAAAAAAAAATATTCAGAGTAAAAAGCTGTAATTTTTCCTTCAAAACAAAGACTAAATAGATCATGAAAACTGCATTTTGATAGTATCACACTATTTCATTTCAAGAGCACCATTTTGATTGTTTTTGTATTAGGTTAAAACGTCTTTTTACACAGTCACTCAAACACATATATTCATGCATACCACATAAATTACTCCAAGTAACAACCTGTAATTACTGAGTAATTACTCAGTAAAATACTCTGAGTAAATCTCTTCTGAGTTTCTGTGTCTCCAAACCCGAAGTAAATAGGTTCCTAACTTGAGCACATGGATAAGTTTATAGATGTCCATATTAAATTTCAGTTTATTGACATGCCAAGATTATGTTGACATGCCGTTAGTTTAAAGATTCTCTAAATGCAGAATTTCATACATTTCAGAGGTCTAAAATTCAATAGCTGTAACTCCAGCTTTTTAAGTATTTTTAACAGCACGGGCTTTTTAATAGAAAACTGTTTCTTCCAAAATGCCTATAATCTCTAATTATGCTTAACAAGAAGTTGTTGAATGTTTGATTGAAGTCCACAGATTTTGCTGGCTTGGATTTTTTTAAGTTCATTTTATGTAAGTTTTAGAAATGTAGTCCAGGTAAAAAATGTTAAAACATTCACTATGGACTTCAATAAGTGGAAGGTTAAGAGTCTCAGCAATATGCTTTACTGCACAATGTAGACTCTCCGAAGGGATTTAGGAGCTAAATCTGCTTGAAGAGTACACAGGAACCCCACTAAGCAAATACACCAAAGCAAACAAAATTCTAGCCCGCAAGCTAAGAGTGCACAAATGAAATGGTGAACATCCATCTTATAAACAAATAATACTTTTGTGATAAAAACACAGAAGGACTTTTAAGTACAGCCACATTGGAAAGTGTAATGTAAAAATGCAGTAGAAATATTAACTGATTGCCTTCAGTAGAAGGAATCTTCAAGGAGGGTCATGCTTTATGTGGATAAAATAACTTTTCTAGAAATGAAAATTAGTATTTGCTTTAGCAAAATATGGATGTGTGGAGGGAATCTTATTGTGCAATCATTCTAACTGTTCTATTTTCAACATAAAGGTCTGGAATTAGGAATGTGATTTGTGTCATAAGTGAAAGAAGAAACATGAAAAGCCCATGTAACCTCCCACCTCCATGTGACCCACACTGTACATTGGCACAGGCCAATAACTCAAAGTCTGCCAACGTAAGATTTCTTGAATCACTCTTCATTGCCCCAAAAGCTGAAATCCTGAAAAAGATTATCTGCCCTAAATATGACATGTTAGAAAGAAACTTATGCAAGCACAGAATTCTCAATATAATTACCAGGATCTGTGATCCACAGAAAATCAAAATCAGAAGGAAAACAAAAATACAATTTACTTGTAAGTACATATTCTCTGACATTCTTGCGAAGACCAGACTTTGCTCTAACCTTTGGTCATACGACAGGGCCATGGATCGGATTCCAGCATCACACCCTGGGTAGGCAAAAAGCTGCTTGAGGTCCCACATCTGCCACACCATGACAACTCCATTGTCTCCACCTGTAAGCAGATACTGTCCATCTCGACTCAGTTGAATTGCCTAAGGGGAAATCACATGGATATTTGTCAGATAAATACGTGTTGCTCTTACTCCCCCTCTTTTCCTTTCATAAAAAGTTTCATATTGACAGCTGAATGCCTAGAGAGAGTTGATACCAATACTTTTGGGAAGTATTGATACTTCCAAGTGATGAAGTTTGGACTTTCTCACAGCAATACCAAGATCTTACACATCTTTTCAATACGGGTCTTAGCAATTACTACTACTGTAACCCTACAAAGTACAAAATACTTCCCAAATGATGAAGTTTGGACTTGATATCAAGCTTTTGGGAAGCAACATAATTGTTATGTTATTCTACCCCGCAACAGAATTAATGTTATTATGCGCAAGTCTCTTAATACATTACATGTCACTAGTACAGTTTTACCTCACCTGTGATTTATTCCATATTCCAAAGATCTAATACGAGGTCAGCTAAAGAAATTTACTCTTCTAATTAGCTAGATTTACAAGATCCAGCACCACTGGCATTAAAATATAGTACCTGACATTCCCCCACGGGTCTTTAATACCAGCCTAGCAGAAGTTATCCTCCTTTTCTCTCTGGCAAAGGGCTGAATGACAGAGGGAACTGAAATGTTACACAAATTACAAGAATTAATTTACACCAGTGTTTTTGAAGTCCTCCTCTGGACTAATAAGATCATGATCCACCTCTCTTAATAGAGACTGTGCTTCCCTTCATCATATATCCTGAAACTGCCTGTGACAAATTCAATGGCTTATACCCTGATTTTGCATGGATCGTGGGGACTGATGGTAAATCTACATTTGAAATCTTTATTTGGGATCCAGATCATGGAGAAAGATTGGATATCATTGGTTTTCACAGTGAAGACTTAGTGAAACAGAAGCCTTCAATCTATTTTGATGTTTCTTGCGTGCTGTTGGAAAAATCACGATACATACTGAGTACCTGGAAGAACGGCAACTTTCCTCAGTTACCTGATGACTATACCAGATGATACTATCAGATATTAAGATGACTGGAAGCATGAGAAACATTTCTTAAAGAGGGATTTTACCAGTTTAAATAAGCCAAAATGTGGTTTAGGAGAACACAGATTGAAATTGTATTAAAATAAGTGATACCCTATGGGGTCAGACAGACCGTGAGCCATCTAGCCCAATGCTGTATCACCAACAGTGGCAGCAAGAGATGCTGTGAGGCTTGCCACTCTACAGTCCCTTCCCTTCTGCTCCCCAGCACCCACAATCACTGGATCAGGAATATCAGAAAGTATCTCTCTGTTCATTCCCTTTAGTATCTATTTATGGACGTGCTGCCCATGAATTTTCTTAATCTCTTTTTGAGCCTGCTGATGCCTTCTGCAGAAAAAAAGAAAAAAATGGCAGAAGTTCATTACAGTGCAAAATAGTTTTATCTGTTTTGAAGTGATCCTACTAGTTTCAATGATATGAAGACCCATATGGTCTCATATTGTGGGGTTTCCCGAGTAACAGTTGGGCATTCACCTCATCCGTTGCCTTCATCACTCTGTAGACCTTCAGCATTCCCCACCTCAGAAAACATTGAATAAAACTAGTTCCCAACACCAACCCTTGGAATACCCCATTACTGACTTTTCTCACAGCAATACTGAGATCTTACACATCTTTTCAATACGGGTCTTAGCAATTACTACTACAGTAACCCTGAAGAGTACAAAACTCCTTCTGAAAGGAAGATCCTGTCCTGCTGCCTTGCAGAAAAGAAACTTAAGCAGTAGATGATACCAGGCCCTGATTTTATAGCTTCATCCTCCAACTATCTGGGAAAACTGAAGGGTTTGTAGGGTTTTCTGGAAAAAAAAAAACAAACCAAAAAAACCCAAACAAAAAAAACCACAACACCCAAACAAAAAACAAAAAAACCCACCACAACAACAAAACCCCAAGCCCAAAAAGTTGAATGAATTCTGTCATGTCGCTGGCACAGGTTGCCCAGAGAGGTGGTGGATGCCCCATCCCTGGAAACATTCAAGGTCAGGTTGGACAGGGCTCTGAGCAACCTGATCTAGTTGAAGATGTCCCTGCCCACAGCAGGGGGGTTGGACTAGATGGCCTTTAGAGGTTTCTTGGTCCCTTCCAACCCAAACTATTCTATGTAGAATGACATCAGCACGAGCTACCAGCGAGATCAAGACCCTTAAAACTACAGTTTGGACTATTATTAACAACTCCTGTAAGCCCTAATCTTTTCCTATACTCTCTCCTCCTGTTTCCAGATGCCTCTTCTCAGCTCTTTTTCTGACTTTTGCTCCCCAGCTTGACCTCTGTTTTTTCCCGTCTCTGCTCTCTACTTTTATTTTTGTATGCAATACTTGGCACAGCAGCAGCCTACCATCCTCTTCGTTTGAGCACACAGAATGGTGAGAAACAACTTTGCTAGTTGTTTGCTGGATGATTTGCTGTTATCAAAAGGAAAATAAGGAATTTTGCTACTATGAAGCACTATTATTAAACTCCTGATGCTACCTAACCCATCACTCCATTGCTCCTACATCCAATTTCTATTTTTCCTTCACTCCTTTCTGCCTCTTCCTGTCTTCTCCCAGTCTCTGACAAGTTTCTACATTCCCTTCTCTACTTTTCTGTTCCTGTCGCTCTTGCAAACACCTCTTTCATTCTGTCCTTGGTTCCATCCTCGATTCTACTCTTCTTTGTCCTCTGCTTCCCCATCAGTCCTTCCCCTTCTTCATCCAGGATCACCTCATCACATTTCTTGCCATGGCATTTTTGTGCAGCTCACTGTAGGGGATGATTGGTTGCAGGGGAAAACTCTGTATCGCTGGGCTACAGGGGTTCAGTACAGAATGTAGATGCTAAGCATTATCTACTGAATGCATTTAACCTGAGATTTGTGGATCAGCTAAATTTGGCAGGAAAATACAAATCCTTCACACCAGGACTAATTCATGATAAATTTCAGCTTCCTGACCCAAGGTAGGGAGCCACAAAACTTTTCAATAGAACAACATAAGTATGGAGGCTATTCAGAGCAATGGCTCTTAAATTCCAAACACACACGTTCTACAAATAGATTGATCCACTTTAACGAAAACATTGTCACTGGAAGGCAAGGAAATTGCCTTAAGAGGATAGTCTACAAGCAAAATTCCAGCTCAAAGATTTAAATTTAGGAAACAGTAGAAAGAGCTGAAGACAGGATCTTGCAAACGTGTCTCTCCCTGCTGAAGTATTTTGGCACTTGCAATCTCTGCTTCTACAGTTTTTCAATATGCAAAACTTTTAAGATACTGTGATTTTAAATTCCTCAAGAAAAGGAATTTGTTGGGTTTTTAATATACATAATTTATAGCACATGCACCACAAAAATGAGGGAAACTAAAACACAAAAATGTTACGTTCATGCAACATTAAAGTGTTTATACAGACTGCTGACAATCCTAGAAACCAAAATATGCAGTGTACGTAAGATACTGCTTCGTGAACAGCAATAATTGAAGTCAGACATATTGCACATATGTATTTTTTGTACTGCTGTACTCTATTACTATGATGCCAAATATATCCTTTAAGAATTATATGATGTGCAAGACTTACATTAAGATAGAGTTTCTATATTATATTATAAATTTTGAGTGTTTACTGCAACAACTCCCAAGTAATCAGAATGAATCGCATTGCTAAAATTTTATTTCACGCAATAACTTTAAAATGAATGTAACTGAAATACAAACATATACTGTAAACAAAGTATTATAAAACTGGAAAAAAAAAGATGATAAACCTATTCCAGCTGTGTTTTGAATTAAGACGACAACACATACATGTAAATTTTGACACAATAAAGCAGGATATGTGGAGGTTTTTTCCAACATCTAAGTATGGAAAATTGAATACGAACCAAGGTTAGAGTTCAGTATTCTGAGCTGAAGCTTCTCCCCCCCCAAACCCAAATGTTCCAACCATAAATTGCTTCTGTGATTGTTTCTACCAGCCTACAAAAATATGCTAAGCACCTCCCAAAGGACAGCCCCAAGGAGCTTGAAAACTCATTTAGAGACCCTCTTAGAAGAGTATAGTAACTCAGTAAGAAAGGGGTAGAAAACAGACTGAGATAAGACTGTGAAAATTATCTAGAACTTGCATGCACTGAGTAAATGATCATGAGATCTAACATACCACACACAATTATTAAAAAGATTATTCATTAGAAGCAAAAATCAATATAGGATGGTTTTCTTCTCTACAGCAATGGCAGTCTCCTAAGGGTATTTTCAAATTGCAGTGAAGACCGTGACAAATAATTATTTGCTACACTTATAAAATTCAGCTGATGAAAATCCATTAACCTTATGGTCATGGTTCACTTGAATTTTATACTTGAGGCTTTTACTGAAGAAATGCTATATTAAAAGGCAAATTAAAGCCATTAATCTTTAACTCTTCCACTACCTGCAAAATGCAGTGGGTTTTGTGATCTTTTGATTATATGAAGTATAGGCTTTGAACCCTTACTAACACCTATGCAATTTTACTAAGTCATTGGCTTGTCACGAAGACAAGATGTTGATTTTTATTGTTTATTAATAAATTTCTCAGCCACTTGCCTATATATATATATATGAATGAAGGAATGAATGGAAGAAAAAGGTCACCCTGTCAACATTTCAGTTTCATGACATGCCCTTCAAGATTTAACAAACGAAAGGATGCTTTTACTCCCAAGTACTCCAACTGGTATAGAAGACGACATGAATCAATTTTACTGTTCTGCTTTTCCCAAGCGTAGTTTATCTACGATTCTGCTAGGTATGAAACTGAAACAACTCTGCAACTAATCTTTCTCACAACACGAGCTTCAGACTTTCAAATAATCCCCAAAGCGCACAATTTCAGCAATGTTCTAAAAGCTGCATTTCTGACTTGTATTTCCTTGGAAAGTCTCAAAACTTTGCACAAATCCCTTTAACATCTCAGATTTTTGAAAGGCAGTGCTTTGTAAAAAGGCAGAGCTGACACTGTGACAGCCCTGGCTTACAGCAGCAGGAGTCTTGTGGGCACTTCCACATTTCAAAACAGACTCAGGAAAGGAAAATAAATTGGTTCCTCTGGGTGAAACAGCATACAGTCTTTGTTTAGGGTAAAATAACTTTACTTCTCAGAACAAGCAGACTATTTAGAGTTAAGTTATTCATTAAGATACCTAAACATTACATGGTAGATGTACTGTGATATGCCTAAGCTCCACTGAGCAATACAGTATTTAAAACAAAAACAGGTGGAAGGCATTGATTAGACTTTGAATTTCCCCAGAGCGTCTGAAATTTTTCTAGCAGTTTTCTAGCACAAGAATGCAAGAAAGAAAATCAGAATGTTGTTCCAAACATCACTATTGAAAACTGCTAGTTTTGTCAATAACGTTCTGAAATACAGGTCCATAATGACATAGGAAAAGAGAAACTAGAATTTTACATTACAGATTCAACACTTATGTCATTTTCCTTCCCTTTTCTATCCTCTTCGAGCAAAAACCAACGAAAAGTGTTTGTCAGCACAGCCCATGGGTAGGCAGTATTCATTTTAAATGACCCTACTTTAATCATGAAGTTGCCACTTGCCTTCTAACATGATATAGTGCAGAAGCACTGGGAAAGACGCTGTAGATTGTTTAAACATAAATCCCAACTGGGACCACTGGGAGAGAAAGAAAACAAAACAAAACAAAGTAAAACCCAAACCCCTGTATATAGGTAATTCTGGCCCACAGAGAGCCGAACTTCCATTGCCTTTAGCAACATTCCTAAAGCTGTGGGTACTGACTGAAACACTACAGAAATTGTTTTAGCCAGCAAGGGATTTCTAGATATTTTACAGATTTGCTGGCCTAGCTGACAACATAATCACAACTGAAAGTGACAGATTATCAACATTATTATTGTAAAAAGAGAAAACACTGTGATATGTACTTGCTTTATGGAAAGAACTGGGATGAAGGGTAGGCTGAAAATCTCAAAAGCATTTGTACAAGGACAGCCGAAGGTGCAATTTCAGAGAATTGAAGAAAGATTAAAAGTTGAAGCAAGAATTTACAGTAATTTGGAAAAATGGCTTGGGAAGGAAATATACACATTCCTATTTCATTTCCCCAGCCTCAAATCTGCACTTGTAGCTGCCATAGCATCCAACATTCAAATGCCCTCTCACCTCTGCAGACAGCACTCTCACTATGGAAGAGAGACCTACACAGAGAGTTATTTCTGCATATTCCACCACCAACGTATCTGACATTTTGAAAACATAGGGATGCTGGATTAACAGAGTATAGTACACAATAGAGTTTTAGAAGGTTTTAAGTGGAATACACTGAACTACACTGGAGACTTCAGTGTAGTAATGGAGCATTCACTGTTCAATGTAAGTTTTATAATGCAAATAATGAAGATGAAAAGTCTTTCAAATATATTGACACATTCTTCCATCTTAAGAATTAATATGAATAGAGTCAAGTGAAGAACAGGTGCAAATTTTAAAATGTTCATAATTTTGCACAACGTCTGAAAGAATTTCAATAATTCTGTAAAATGAACATGAGGGTGAAGAGGCATTTTCTTTCTGAAACATCTAATCCAAATAAAGGAAAAACTTGAGTTTTCAACTCAAGAGAACATTGAAAATCCCAGCAGCTGAGCTCTTCCATCAGATTAGGAAAGTCAGCTTGGAGGTGTAGTACTGCTATATGTTTATAACAACAAAAGTCTCCTCTTGCTGATATTAAATAGTTAAATAGTTTTATATAGGAAACACTTTTTTACTGTGAGGATGACCAAGCATTGGCAAGGGTTATCCAGAGAGGCTGTAGAATCTCCATCCTTGGAGATATTCAAAAGCCATCTGGACATGGTCCTGGGCAACTGGCTCTAGATGGCCCTGCTTGAGCAGCGTGGCTGGACCAGATGATCTTCAGAGGTCCCTTCCAACCTCAGCCATTCTGCAATTCTGTGCCACTCAGACCATGACTACTGGCACAGAGACCATAACTTCAGATAATTCAGGTAGCCTGAATGCTGACCCAGCAATGTGATCTTGCTTCATGTCTCTGCTGCATTCTGTAACTTTCTACTAGATTTGGTAATGCTTGTTCATTTTCTTCCCTTCCCCTTCCTTTCTTTCTCATTCAAGGAAAAAGTGGGAATATTTTTAATTCAAGGAAAGTATTCTTTTGACATTTCTGCTTCACTGCAGTATAGCTGGCAGGTTCTGCTCTTCTTCATAGGTACTATTTCATGGGAACTGTCAAAAGACCTGCATTTTGTGTTATCAAATAATTTCCATAAAACGATAAGCTTAAAATGCCCCCTGCATAGTTTTGGACTTGCTCCATGTCTCTTGCAGCTAAAGATGTGGAGCTGCCTGCTCAGCAAATGCCAAAGGGCTGAAGAGTTGAAATATAGACATATGCCTATAAACTTCCTGAAGTTCAGCACAACACATGCTATCTTAGGCTAAGATGAAGGAATGTAGACAGAGATGCCAAAAAAGGGAAAGCCAACATCCAAAACAGCATGTCCAACAACCTCCTGCCTTCAGATTCAGAAGTAAAGCAGTAGCCCGGCTTCTCCTGGTCAGCAATTAGTAATATTTGTATTCTTCAGTTCAAGGAAATGTCTACAGGATATTCCTTACTATATGAACAGAGTTATTTTAAAATTAAAAACAGTACTATTAGGAGTACATGGTCCCCTTAACTACAGCTTTTTCAGAATGCTCCTATTATGGTCTAGTACCGTGTATTTCTATGGCCCGGCTGCAAAAAGAGTCTCCACACAACTCCAACATCGATAGCTTCTCCCGATACTGGAACCGTCAGTCCTTAGCACACATTTGAGTACACTCACCTTTATCTTATCATCTGTTTCCATTGTGGCTTGAAGTCTCCCATTCACACTGAATACACAGAAGAGTCCGTTTTCATAATATATGACACAGTGGCCTTCTCTTGAAGCTTGAATAAGTTTTGGTCTCAGGCGGTTTTCAGGACCTTCTAATGTTTCAGGACCTTCTAATGTCCTCAGTAGATCTCCATTCATAGAATGTATGAGACATGGTCCTTCTAATGAGACAGAATAAAATCTCTAGTTACTGATTTATATGCTCATTTAAAGACATCATATATCAAGTAATAAGTCACGACTTCTACTTAGGTAATCACTATTATAATACATTATAATGATTTTTTATCATGTTTAAGTGGATAGCCTATGACTTTAAGGGTGCCAGAGAGTAAAATGAACAGCTTATCCCTTAAAAGCTTTGTATTAAAGTATTTTAGAGCACCTATCAAAACTAGTTAGAGACCTAACAGATTCTCTCTTGTGGATTTTCTTTTAAAACTGGTAGTAGTTAATTTTGAGAGCACAAAAATAAATGTACTGAATCCTAAACTGAGATTTTCAAAATACGAAGACACAGAGGTAAGTGTAAGTGAATTTACATACGGAGGTACTCTGAAAGTGTATATTCTCATATTAAGATTTTAACCCATACATGATCCACTAAATACTTGGTTTTCAATATAGTTGGACAAATACCTGATTTGCAGGTAAGCCAGAAGTGTTCACATGCATTAAAACAGAAATACACACAGGTGCATATGGTGAGTACACCCAACTTTGAAAAAGTGTCTCTTTGAAAAAACATCTCTTACTTCAGAAACACTGAAGTAGAAAGATCCTAATTCTAAGAAATTTCCAGTTTAAAAATAAGTGTGGACCAGCAAATAGGAAAATGATAAACAATATCCATGGAATCAACACCATTCTTTACAATTTGCCTGCCAAAAGCAGGTCTTTGAGAACACAAATTGGGCACATTACAGGCTTTGTAGCTACGCTCAAAGAGCCTGAACAGAATTACTACAAATTTTAGTTGGTAGTTTATATATAACCTTCATCAAACAAAGGTTAGAAATAAAACCACCATAAAGTTAATAAATTCTGCCACCTGAGACTATATTCCTTTTTGCGTTAGGATTATAGCTTCACAAACAGAAATAAATGACAACAGCTCTCTTACCTTTTGAACCACTTATTACCAGGCCAAGTTCAGCACAAATGGTAGCACAGGTGATCTCATAGTCATGTCCTGTCAAAATAGCTCGAGGAGTTGCAAAATCACCTTCAATGAAAAAACAATAAAAGCAAACCTTTGTTACAATCTATTTCTAACACCACTGCTTTCAATCACTGAAGCATCTTCAGTTTCCTTGCTCTTTGAGTTCACGTTCCCTGCAAATCACTTCTATCTACTGTTTCCATATGGTTGTTCTGTACTCATATCTACATAGTACAGCAGCAGTATACTATAGGGATTCAGCCTGCACGTTTACTAACACAGGTTAATATAAAAGTCAGGTGTGTAGGAAAAACAAACAGAATTTAGAGCACCCAGATTTGCTTTTCCCCCTCCCTCCCTCTCCTCCTCTATTTTCTTTTTTCGTGGAGGAAGAGATCATAGTCAATTACTACCTTTTCCTATAACAGGCATAAGTAAACACAAGTGTCTCTATGACAGGTACTGAGAGGAGACACCTGCAGTGCCCAAAGATGAAGTAAAACATCCATTGACTGATTTTATTTTAATCTAGTAACAGTGTTGAAACCTCAGCCTGATGTCTAGTTCCTTGTAAGAATGTGGAGCCTGGAATATAATCAGTATGAATTTCAGATGAGTTTGCAAAATCAAAACACCCAAACCCAACATTAATTACCACTGCTCCTATTAGACATTTTCCTGCAACAAGAACAAATAAAACTGTATTTTTCTGAGATTCTCTTTGTAATTAAACATATATGGGTACCATAAAGAAAAAGTAATCGTACAACTGGCACGTTGAAAGGAAAAAAAAAAAATTATTCTCCAGGTCAAGACACAGAACGGGTAGGCAAATGCTATAAAGCTCATTAAATAGTTTTATAACGTCACTCACAGGTCATTCGCTGGATCACCCTCTTCAAGAGTGCTAGCATTTCATGGAAATCACAATGTTATTTTTGTATTACCATATAATTAGTTCATTCATAACATTTTACGAAGCATTTAAACTCTGAAGAATGTATCTTGGGCAATGTTATCATGTAGTTTCAAAAAGGATGAGACGAGTTTTTAAGCAGCAGGGAATAATTTCACTTCACAATAAAAGGTACGTGAGATACCAACAAGGCAGTAAAGCAGTGGTAAAATCAAACCTTTTTAACTTCAAAAACAGGAGATGGTTTTGCAGAGAGACAGAGTAATAATAGGGCCAACTGACTCCACTGGTTACTGAAGTAGCAACATTCAAATTGTAATTGGGGTTGTAACTTTTCAAAAGATAAAAACAGCATAACGTCATTAGTTTGTCCACATAGAGCCTTAACAGTACGAGCAATACGGGTACTGGGTCTTACTAGAAATTATGGAAATATATTAAAATAGGTAGCTACCCAGACCCTGCACGTGTACAGTGAGAGACTTCTGTGGAAAAGAAGTGTAGCTCTGGGCTTGCATAAATAAAAGCTTAGCTTATTCTCAATATTTTATATTTTTACTCAGACCATTTGCAACACCTCCCAGAGCGTCCGTGTAGCTACCACATTCAAATGGCTTTGTAGAAAAGGTCGTAATCTATGACAAAGTATCAAATCAAGGATTTTGACCTTTCAAAATTTTATTTATTCTGCAGCTACTGTTATAATCTGTAATTTATATCCACATTACAAAATCTTGAAAAGTAAATAAATGTTTCTTCTTAGATATATACATATACACTAAATATATATGTGTGCATGTACACACACACATACGTATGCATGTATGTTTATTTTAAATCTGAGAATGCTTTGGAGCAACTTGCTGAATTGTCCCTAATCTCTTAATAAATAATCATTAAAAGCTATTGCTTTTGTTTTGTATAATGTTTGGCAAAACACACTCAAAGCCAGGAAGTATGGTAGACAGTTCAGAAGCAAAGGAAAAACTCGCAACAAATTAGAAGCATAAGGGTAGACTTAATGACCTCTAGGTACTTCTCAGGTGGCTGATCCCATGAACGCTCACAAACCTTTTAGAGAAAGTTTGCTCTATTGAACTTTCCTCACCTAAACATGGGGCAGGCACCTTAGAAGATTCATAAATGAACATTGTGTAGACAAGCCACAAATTTGCAGTTTTAGGGGAAAATGCAACAGCAACCATAACAGTCTTATTATCCAGTAACAATTTAATTTTGTTGATCCAATTCTTTCTCCCTGTTGTCCCCAAGCCATAAAAAAGGAGGCAGCTTTGTGCGTTTAAAGCTCGTGTTACTTTGTTTTCTTTTAAATGAGCTGCCTACATTAGCAAAATTCTAGAATTCTGGTTTTATTGCTTTATTTTACTTTCTTTTGCTTTCAGAAATTGCATTTAACACATACTTGCATAGATCAGCAAGGAATTATTCAAACTATACACTACACATGTTAAAGAAACTTTTGAAATCAGAGAAGTTTTAAATGTACAACATTGTAGTGGAGGTAATGAATATAAGATGTTGGAGTTAGGAGTTACAAGAAGCAATGTCTGAACAAAGGTGGTGCAGATAAACAAAATCCTTATAGTAAATTTCTTGCTTACAGGAACTACATTACTGTAGGCTTTACCTACGTTAGGCTGTCAGCAACTATATACATAAAATGTAGAAGATAAGATTCTTAAAACAAGAAGTAGAAACTGAGCATATATATTTATCACAGTCCACAGAAAAGTAAAATTACATAAGTAATGCTCTCAGTCTTTTTAGAATTTGGACTTGACTTCAAACATAAAAAAGTATAAATCTACAGGTGGCAGGATCAGTGTTTCATAAATTATATCAACTGTTTACTAAATTACATTTGTTCTAAAGAAACACTTCAATGCAAAAAAGACATAGAAGAAATCTGAATAGTATCTTTAAAGAAATTAGGACTTGAATAAATACTGTAAAAGAGGAGTCCTGTGAAAAGTCAGGCTGACTCCTTTGATAAGAATGTCAAGTATTTAGGGGTTTCCAAGCCTCTGATTTTCCAAATAATGGGGTCAACTTAAAAGCTGGTCGTAGAGCAGAACAGATTTCTTTAAAAGCTTTTAAACTGTTATTGCTTCAGAAGATTGTCATGGTTTTCAATAATGCAAAGAGAAAATTTTATTTTGTTGCTGGTTTAAGGGGCACCACTTCAAACTTTTCTAAATTGTTTTAGGGGAACCAGCTTGCAGACCTTTTGAAAAGCTGGGGAAGTGACTTCAAAGGGAAAAGAGTCTTTGTCCGCTAAGCAGGTTTACGACCACTGATGCAAACCCTAAGGACTGAAAAGAATACTCAGTGCATCTTTATGGAGATCCTTAAGGAAGATGAACAAGTCAAATGAGATTAAAGATAGTTCAAACCTAGCACTAATAACCAAGACACAACAGTTTTACAGATGTGCTTTTCTCAGCATAGTATATAATAATATCCTTAGTATACCATTGCTGGATTGCTACTTGAAGTTGAACGCTGTAAGAATCTTAATGCCACATTCACATTGCAACAAATGTCGGCAATGATTTATTTAAGTCACAGGAGGTATATGTAAAGTTATTTTCCAGTAATGGACAGAATACTTTACCTTTACAGTAACCATTCAAATTATTTCAAAAGAACTCTCCTACAGTCCAATAAGTAGTTTCTGGAAAGCTGTTTTCCCATAGAAAATAACATATCACTCTTCCTTAAGTGACTAAAGTACATTTTAAATCATAAAATTCAAGCTTCAGAAGATAAAAGAAGAGCACGTGATATCATGTCAGCTTATGGTGATATTTCAGTGAAAAAATGTTAGATGTTTGGAAACTACATTTAAAAAGGAACAGCAGGATTATACCAAAGTCAAAACTTTCTTCTAGTTTAATGACATCCAGAAGAAGATACGCCTTACTGGATAACAAGAAATTGGTTTGTATTGCTGGGTCTTTCTCTGCTATTTTTTCAGCTTCGGCGATGTTACAAAACAAAACAGGATCATGACATTTTAAATCCATCAGTAAATTCCTAAAAAGACCACTTTCTAAATTTTCAGCACTAAGCTGTAAGAGCTGAGCCAAACATCAGAACTCATTTAAAGAAAAAAATCTCTCCCTAAAAAGACAACAAACTAGAGATCAACTGAAAAAACTTATCTCTCAATGAAATATGAGATACACTTCCTACTATTTCTGGGTGAGATAATATTATGCAACGCATTAAAATATAAAATATTTGAGTATGCACCGTTTTATGCTGAGAAGACAGTTAATTATGATAAGTCACAGACAGCCAAAGTCATTTCTAAATTATTATTCTACGATTGCAGAGGCTGTAGGGCACTTTTAAATGGCAAATTATTTATGTGATTTTATGTCAATATAAAATCCGAATTAAATGAAGCATCAGTTAATCCAACTGTCTTTTACCTACTTCTTGCGAAAATAAGTGATTGAGTACTTTCTCAGGAGGATACATCAACCAAACCAAATTATATATGTAAGAAAAGTCTTTTAAAAATCATTTTACAAATTTCACAATTTTGAAATTGCTTCATATCATAAACATTGAGGAAAACAATAAAAGGTTTGAAATCAATTTGAGAAGTACAAATGTACTTACAGAATATGAGACATTTGGACAACAGTGCTTCCAGCAAAATGTAAGTAAATCAAGAAAACTAATTTGCTGCTAGGCCTCTATGTTGATTATGTAGCAAGTTTCAGAGTTTAATTACATAAAAGTGACGACTGTCAATTATTATATAAACTCTGTATGTTAACATTATTTATAGATCACACACAGTGAACACTTAAATAACAGCCAACTGGTTAAAAACCCATTTCAGGGGCGCAGAAAGGCTATCTCTTTGATGGATGTGAGATCTTACTGAAGCGATACCACATAATATTACTGAAGTATTCATAAAACTTCAGTTTGAATAATCTTTCCTTTGTAAATATGCATTTTTATGTAATAATGTAATCTTTTCATATTATATAGGAACTTCATTGTTGTCCGGTTTGTCACATGACACTCCATCAGCATTTCCTCTAATTCCTTCAAACTACTTCCCATCTGTTCAGACTTTTTTTACAACAAAAAGTACAACCTTATGTCTAGATGTAAGTTTTGTTTTTGCAAAAAACATTTCAACTGTACATTTTCTGAAAAAGGAACAATATCTTTGAACAATATATTCTATCTTGAAGCAAGATCTAAAAACATAGAACACAGAAGATGCTATAGTGCTGTTGTTTGTTCAGTAAAGAAAAAAAATATTAGATTTATCTTGTAGAATTCATTTCAGCAAACATAACACAGGAAAGGCTTACTGTACTCCTTCCCGCAGTCACACTGTGCAACAAGTGACTAACATTTATTCAGTACTAATATGAGATTTTTCCTACACATTGTGTCAAGAGAACAGGTTCGCTATGTTTCCAAAATAAACACAGTAAAGAAAAAGATTTAACAGGCCTTCATGAACTGGATATTACAATTCAGATTTCAAAAGTCAATAATCCCCAGTCTCTTAATTCCTACACCATGTGCAATGCGAAGCTTTCTGGAACAAGTTTGCCCTTACTCGGGATTCATCTGCTGGAAGTC